TCCATTTACCAAAACGTCGATGGCACCAGTGTTTGAGGTAAGCATGTAAGGCGCGAGTAAAAGCCTGTTATACTCGCGGTCAACTTATATTGGCATTAAAGGGAGAATGGGGACGGAGCTGCTGCACAAGTGCCTCTTTGCGAAGTAGTCATGTTAGGATTGTGTTATTCGGCTAACCGTGTTCGACACGTTGCATAAAACAGCACAGCATTGCATGAAATTTTCTTTGTTCAGACAAGTAAATGTGAGTGAAATTCATAAGAAGCTCCTTCAATGAGTCGTTGGAATAGCTGTAGGGCGATGGTCGCTCACCGAAAGACGAGTACGGAATTTGCATTGCAAGGTGCGCATAAAACGTGCGACGTAGACGGCTTTACATAGAGTAAAGCATATATGAATATCTGCATGGTGCGCGTGGCGCCTTTTTATAAAGAGCATCCCGTAGAAAATAAATTAATGCTCGTGCTTTTCCGCGCAGGAAACACTAACGCAGTTCAGACTATATTCTTCAGCGGTGGCACAACCCAAGTTTGGCACCATAGCCTTCTTTTCATTGCCGAGAAAAGCTGGCCGCGAGTAAAGGCAGATTCACAAACTCAATGTGCTTATATTTTCCTGCGCTTTATGGGCTTACTGCTTGTTTCAGGACTTGATACACGTAATTTGCGGCGGGTCCCACCTGTTGTGCAGCTTCCGAGCATGTGCCGCTTATCAGCACCAAATGGAGTATTCATTATATCTTTAAGGCGCAAGTGCTCCCAAAACGTAACTACTAGACATATTCATAATTTGAAAACAACAAGCGCTCCTTAGGCATCATGCCACAGTGTTTGCGGATTGCTTGCACACTTATTGCATTGATACGGCAAGTTTGTTGCAAATAATATATCTTTATATATTTGTCCAACAGCGAACTGTTTGGCGTGCTATATTATGGGCAGTTAGCGTAGCTCTTGTTCAACCCCTTCGAGTGTATTTCAACAAGTCGGGAATCTATATGCAAATAAGAAGTGATCGCCATAGCTCTGCATTTTTATAATAACGCTGCATCTGTTCATTGTACAACGGCATATATCTGCAGAGTGCTTCAATTCTATTCTCGGCAACTGCAATAAGACGCTGCTTTTCACACATCGTATAGTGGGGCTCTTTGCCACAACAAAATTTTTATCCAGGCCCATGCTTAAAAAGATTTGTACATACTAGGTGTGTTTGATTTGGAGTATATCTTATAACAATAAATCTTCCTGTCAAATATTGTGAGAAAAGGCGGGAGAAGCAAATGACCAATTGAACAACATACTTTGTGAGCTCAGACATGGTCAGAGCGATTAGAGACCTGCTGGTAATTACCATATGAAGTAGTCAGTAGACTTGAAGACGGAAGGGGAGTGCATTTATATCATTGGCGACATATGTAAAACAGCGCCTGCGCGTGAAATCGTTACATTCAAGAGCACGGCGCACAAAAAGTTCGGTTTATGGTACCACTGGTTGCTACAGAGGTTAAAAAAGCAGTGACACAAAATTTCGAACCCGAGATGTGGCGTTCATTCAAATGCTTGGTACGCACGAGTTCTTTTTTTTTGGAAGTATGAATCGCGTCTGTTACGTAGAATTCATTTTATTTCGAACGCAAAGAGTATCCAAGGCTCATCAGCTCGTTCCCGGTCATGAGACATCGAAAGCATTTTGACGTGATCAGCCAACTACTAGGCCGCGCTTCAGGATCCGAGTGACGATGAGCGAGCAGCGTTGACGTCGAGCATTATAGTGTTGTCGTCGCGGTGCCTACATATGGTACTAAGTCTCTCTATCTACGAAAAGTAGCGAAAGGTCGTGATCCAGCCGCCTCACCGCGCGATTGGCTGGTTGGCAACACGTGACCTTTTCTCCTTCGCGCCCCGCCCTAAGGGTCCAGCAGTCGTTCGCTGTGCATGCGGATCGCGTGGTTGTTTGCGTTTCCGAGCGTGGAACTGGACGTTTCGGTAAGTAAAAAACATTTCTTGCGCCTTTGATGCATTGTTTTTGCAACGTAGAAGTGCTTATTTACGTTTCCCTTGAGTGGACGCGGGAATTTATATTTTTATTCAACGTTTGCAGCATGACACGCTAGCATGCCGGGCTGATGTGCCTATGGTTGCCGCAACCGTATGACATATGGAAAGAAGTTCTTTTCTATTCCTCGCGGTGACGATAACATCAGCAGACGGAAGATGTGTCTCCACAGAATTGGGCGCAAGGATTTCGTGTTCAGTGTTGTCAGTGTTGTTTTGCTACTTCAGTTGCACACATTTGTTATATGTACAGGTACATCTGACACATTTTTTTTTCTCCAGTACCAGCTACACATGCAGCATTGCTGAACCGGATCGAGCAGCTGGAAGTCCAACTTCAAGCCACCAAGCGTAAGCTCAAGCTTGCACAGAAGCAAAGACGTCAAGCGGTTGCTGCCAGCAATCGACTTGTTGCTGGGTTGAAGAAGTACCTGAATGAAGACCAAGTAAAGTGTCTGCACAAACCTACCATGAGGGGAACCAAATGGAGCAAGAAGACTGTGATAAAGGCTTTAAAGATGAGACTCACTTGCTACTGTCGTTTTGTGCTCTGTATGCAATCGAAAAAAATGGAGGGGGGGGAGGGGAAAATGGGCTCAGCTGTGCCACCCCCTGGCTACGCCACTGAATCTGGTTACTGATAATTGTCAGATGCAGCGAAATCCTTCATCCGAAATAAAGCTCTTAGAGTATTGTGTATACAAATAATTCGGTTAGCGTTAAAAGACCGCGGGAATACTGCCGAGCACAGAAAAACGCGATAAGAGCGCACTTAACTCGCTGCGCACCACTAGAAGCAATCAGTGCGCAATGATGTTTCCGAAAGTTTTGGTAAGCTCACAACCCCCGATATTTTTTAGCTATAAAACAAGCACTTTCAGTTGACCCAAATACCGTCACTACTTCAATGTAAGCTGAATTTCAGATTGTGCAAACGATCGTTAAAAAAGCGCCGTATGACTACCGCTGTGAAACACCGTTCAATCGAATGAGATGCTTCGAAAGTACGAACGTTTTATTGCAAAGCTTCACGCGCCCCGGGATCGTTAGTTGTCCCTACTGCTTGAAGTTTCCTGGGCAGCTTACGCCACAAAGGGCAATAATTAACCGGTTCAAACGCGCACTGAAGCGGTTTCAGCCGTCCGCAAAATGCACGCGAGCGAGCGGAGCGTCGTCTGCTAGCGCTGCTCCTTGGACCCCTCCAAAGGGCGCGCGTGTATTTGTCGCTACCTATATATATATAGGGACCTTATATGGTACCGTTTGGCTGCTACACCTGGATGCCTAGCAACGTCACCACTTGCTTGCTTCGTCCAGCACATTCGTATCATCTCACATTCGTATCAACACATTCGTATCAATCTAGCATTTTCCTTGCGCCACTTCGGTTAATTTGTCACGCAGTTGTGATCGTGAATGTGATGATTTCAAGCTACAGTCTTCGCGAAGAAGTAACACGCACGTAGTGTTGGTATGCGTTGCCACCCAGCGTGGCCCAGGTGTGTGTCTCCAGCTGCCCTTTTGCTGCTCGGTCCTAATGACTGCTCAGTAGAAAGTCTGACAAAAATGATTAGCCACGCCGCGAATTGCCATGATTCTATATTCCTCGGTGTTTTCATCGTCGCTAGTAAACACTGATGATGGCGGCGACGACAAAAATTGGCCCCGAATCTTCATGTTACACTGCAAATGTTGTCGAAAGACGATAATCTTGCGTCTGGAGAGAGTGAACAAAACGTTTGATGTTCTGCGCAAAAAAATTGGTGAATGGTATTCTGGAGGCGCTGCGTCATAGTGCCTCGAACGTCTAGCAGAAGTGAACGAGCACATCGAGGCACAATAGACACGAGCGCCATCTGGCAGTTATCTTCAAAAACGAAGGCGTGCGCCACCGCAGAGAAAGATGCCCGCCTGTCTCGGAGGTGATAAGGTGTAGCACGCAAAGCGACGGGCACGTGCCACCGCCGTGTCGTGGTAGCAAAGCGTTGAAAACACTTAGCTTTTTGAGCATCGCGTTGCACTGTCAACGCAGCACGATAAACGCTATGGTCCTTAGAGCTACTTGTGTGTGCCCCTTCTATTATAAAGGCACACATACAAAACATCGACGTGGTGTTATGGCACCTAAAATATGCAGAATAATTCCTTTTTAATTGACAATCGAACAACTATGAACGCTGAAGCTTGAGGAATTTCGGTGGGTGCTGCGGATGGGGTCGGCCGTTTGGGGTATCATTAAGGGCAGACAAACAAACAAATGTAACGACAGACAGACCAAACTTTTTCCGTTGAAGGTCCCCAAGAAAGACTATCGTCTCTAATAGTGGTGGCGAAGACATACCTATAAACGTGCGTGGACAGCAGTAGAAATGTCAACTTCAGACACCATCGGCCCCATCTGATAACTGGCCACGTTATTAGATGGGGCGGGACCGCGGGCGGTGGGCGCGCTGTAAGTGCTGAAAATTGGCAAGCTTTGCAGCCGTTGTGAGATGGGTTCGATACTGGTCACACTAATCGATTTACATATATTATTTTGTTCTCTGTTGCATTATTAGTGCCGAATAGTTACTAGCGAATCAAAAACTGCGCGTTGACACTAGAAGCGCGACATGCATAAAGTGGGTGTCGCTGCTCCTTTAACTTCACGATGCAATGACTGCTGAGCAAAAAAACTACCCGTAGTGTATGGGCCGAATTACTTCGTGAATGCCTTCATTTTATTTCGTTATGTACTTTGCTTGTAATGCATCGTTGAAAAGCTATCGCAGCACAAGGCGATCACTGCAATCAAAACCAATGTTTCTGTTTGTTGAATTACTGTTTTTGGTATATGAAGAACACGCTGAATAGGACACCAGCTTTTCAAGTCGCTGATTTGTCTATCGCTCATTTTGAGCGTATATACAATAAACATCAAATGACGAGCAAAGATATACTCACGCAAGTAGCACAGATCCTCTGCCGCATGAAATAAAAACAGAGCACATAAACAAGTGAAGCGAATAAATCTAATGGCAAAATGCTAACTTCGTCCAAATTGTGCAACTTGGCAAATTTCCATTTAAGCTGCGTTAAAACTACGAGTGGTGGGAAGAGCGCAGTCTTGACAACGCATGCTGCACTCGTGCCTTTTACCCACAGTTTTACCTTCCATCACTTCAATACACTGTAATACGGAATCTATATCTCTGAAACACACCAAATTTCAAGTATGTAAGCATAACTTGCGCACTATATAATGTGACTGAAAACAAAAGTTGTTGCACATGCCATGGATAATTATAGCAACGTACTGAAAAAGCACGTTAAAATTTAGCACTTTGGCACTGAGGGAATACCACAACTTTATTATTGCACACTTGCAAAAATAGTTTTCTATCTTCATTTCTTGGCATAAAAAAATCTGAGCAATTTATGCTGTTTCTGGCGTTGTTTCTCCGCAGAATAACAGTTCTGGAATACAACCTGGAAATAAATTCACTGACTTGTCCCTCAGACTACAAAGGTTGTAAAGATTATTCTAACTCTGGTGTAAACTCAGAAAACACACGTTTTTTTTCCTGTTTCGATGATGCACTAAGGTTGTCCGTTAAGAAATATCCAGCGACGGATAAAACTCAGATGCACAATTTCTACCACGGACACTGCAATGTTACTTTGTGGTTTCAACAAATAAAAAAAATTGCAGCATTTTGAGCACACTTCAACTTCATCGTACGGTGACAAATACGGACGAGGAATACGAGTATTGGCTGCAAAATCATAGGTAAATAATGGCTGGGCTGAGCCTAGCCCTTCCTACTAGTAACTACTCTTGTAGTTATCAAGAGCGACACAGTATTTAACTTGCTTTCATAAAAACAATGTCCGAAGCGGTAACTTCGATCTTGGCAGCCTTCCACGCTTGCTAAGCGTGGACGCCTGCCATGCCTGGCCGCTATGACGAGTCTTGCCACCACGAGCTGCCAGAGACTATCACGTACGACGTGAGACTTAGGAAGACGCCGGGAAGAAAAAGCTGTGGCGTCTCAGCGGGCTGAACGCCTATCGTGAAACGAACATGACTTTCAAAGACAGATTCAAGAGAAGTCCTACCGATTGACGAAACGTAAAATATGTGCAAGGTTTTATGGGGACAAGAAAATGAACTACAAGAAAAATGCTATTTGTAGAGTCGGTTTTGTCCGGTGTCACCCGAATCTTTGAAAATATTTGTTTACACCTTGGAGATTTAAAGCATAGCTTTACCTCTTTCATTATTATGACAAATTGAAATGTGAAAAATTGTTGTAGCTTACACAATTAAAACATTTTTGATGTGTGTGATAAAGCCATCTTTGGCATGTTTTAATGTCCTGTGCATTGTTACATTTGGGCATCTGATTTTTTTTTCTACGCTGCTCCCCAGCATTATTAGTTCATATACCCCCCGTGATTCAAAAGAAGGAAAGTATAAAATTAATGGATAGTTTTCTATGGTGCACACAATACTCAGGAGAACTAACAGACAATAATTCGAGAGAAAGTAGTAGGGTTTTAATAGAGGTTATTATAATGTAAATGTGAAGAAATAAAAGAACCTGCAACCTTCGAATAACGCATCCGACGCTCTGTCACTGAGCTACGGGAAGAGTAATTCTCCTCCGTCCGTTTTACATGGTATGAATGTGTATCTCTTAAACGTGTGATGGTAAGTCAGCGCCTCCTGTTTTCATTACAGCGAGTGTGGAACTTTTTTGCCTGGTTGGCATCAAATAGTTTAATATTACGAGATGTCAGCTGAACAATAATGCCCTGCATACCACCTCCAGGCATCAAGTCTGCGAGAACGAGAGCCTCGCTATGAAGAAAGGAAGGAAGGAAGTGTACAGTGTCAATTTTTATGAAAGGGAACTCGGGAGCGCGTAGCCTGCGCGCTCCGGAAGCGCGGCTGCTGGAAGCGCGTTCAAGCGGAGGCGAAAGCAACCACAATATCTTTTCGCGTCATCTCGCGGTGAGCAAAGAATTATTTGTTGCTGATATGTAACCAGCATCAAGAATGCGACCTCCTCCCCCTTCAAAGTGATTACGCGAGGGCTTGTAATCGCCTTCAAGGGGGGGGGGGGTTGCAAGCTTCCCATTCTATATCAGCAACAAATGATTATTTTCCTCGCCGCGAGATGACGCAAAAAAAGACTGTCGTTACTATCGCTCCCACTTGAACGCACTGCTAGCAGCCGCCGGAGCGTGCAGTCCATGTGCTCCCGTGTTCCATTTCATAAAAATTGACACCGCACATTTAAGGGCTCATTTTCTTTGTTAGACATCATATAAGGGAAAAGCAACAGACAATAAGGCCAGAGAAAGGGTAGGGGCTGTTATTGGAAACAATTCTTATTTGAACTGAAGCATGAAAAGTGGACGAAATGCTAACTTGCCCCCGGCATGATACGCACCTGCGAGCGTGACAAGACAGCGGGGCCACCTTGACTGCATAATCACTTGGCTTCTGTGTGCAACCCTGAAGCAGGTCTACCCTCGGTGACACGCAGTTTAACCTAATAATATCCTGAGTAAATACACATTATGAGCCGCGAAGTGAAAGCCAAAGTGCGTTGGCAGGCTAGAAGGTTATATCATGTTTGCACAACGCCAACAGACAATAAAGACACACTCGTACAGAGCACTGTCTTTTAACTAAAGATGTTCATGTTCTTGTGCACGTGAATGTATGAACACGCGAACAGGGGAAAAAAGGAAAGGCGATAGAAAAGTCGCGCAAAAGGTGCGATGTTAGCGGCCTCGGTGACAACCTGTTGTAACCAAACTAAAACGACAAATTGAGAAATCTAATTTTCTTCTAAGAAAGCGACACCTAGCATGATAACACACCTACCCTTTATTTTTTGCATCGAAGATACAAATCACGGTAAATCTGTTTTGAGGACTGAGTAAAACATAAAATTTACGTAAAATAAGAATATGGTTAAGTTCACGTCTTACCAGTCCTCTGAAAATTTAATTATTTAGTCCAGCCTCCCTACCAAAAAATAATCACCAATAGAGAACATCAACCGGTGCTTATTTCTGAACAAAGCCAAACGAATCTACCAAACAAGGGATATAATCATATAGCGTGCGTTTTCAGTTGTATGTGTTTTTGATGTAAAAAATATTTTGAACTGCAACTTCTTGCAAACTCGGACCAGCTTAAGCCTTCTGGCATTATACTTCTGCACAAATCGACAGCCTCGACTTAAGAGTTTCGCATCACGTGTTGTCAAAGTAATTCAGCTAAGTTGTTGGCAAGTCAGGAAAACTTGCGCCAAACTTCCGCCAAACTTCCGCTTGAAGATGATCCCATCAAGTGGTTCGGTAGCTCTCTGGACAGCAGCACCTGTGTATTCCATTCAGAGCTATTCATATAGGGGATATTCAAAACGTACAGCGCCATCTGTGGATAGTCCCGTAAGCTCGATCTGCTAAGCCCTGTCGGGCACGAAAACGAAAGCAGGCGCATGTCACAGCTTTTACGGTGCAAGTTGTTCATTGCTTTCCTGCTTTCTTTGATGAATTTCAACTGCTTCGTGCAATGTTCAGGCAACGAGGGAGCCCTGACAATGTCTTGAACAAGGTAGGGCTAATTTTAATCAAATTTATAGGTTACATGAACGAAGAAAAGAGCATACGGATGCGCACTTCTTTCGTAAACAAGATCGGTACTTCCAGAAGCGCCTGGCATGCGCATAGAAAAGCTCTTGTGGTGGACTCATGGTCGCACAGAAGCAGCCAGCCACCCTTTCCCATCGTTTTGGTGAAATGTTATCGCGTCGCGTGTGGGAAAGGGAAATGGTGCGTGGGTGCGCGACCAAGCGGTAGTGGCCGCACAATTGCTGAAACAAAAGATACTTGTTGTTTGGCCTTCACGGACGCACTACTCACTTCTCTGTGCTGATTTCCAGCTGCACTCGCGTCCAGCACGACACGGTCTACAGCCTCAGGTCTCATTTCCTTGTGTGATTTATTGTTCAACTGCAACAAAGCTACACTTATCGAACAGCCCCGCCGCGGTGGTCTACTGGCTAAGGTACTCGGCTGCTGACCCGCAGGTCGCGGGATCGAATCCCGGCTGCAGCGGCTGCATTTCCGATGGAGGCGGAAATGTTGTAGGCCCGTGTGCTCAGAATCAGGTGCACGTTAAAGAACCCCAGGTGGTCGATATTTCCGGAGCCCTCTACTACGGCGTCTCATAATCATATGGTGGTTTTGGGGCGTTAAACACCACATACCTTACCTACCTTATCGAACAGCATATTATGATATATGCACTTGAATACAGCCGCAGCCGACATCGCACCCGTGTAAAAGCATGGTTGATCAAGATAACCTGTTGGTTCGAACCCCGGATGAGGACTAATATTTCGGCAACCAAGAAACATTTATTTCATAGAAAGTAGTTTGAATTTTCCTGTAGCGTATTGCTACACACGAGTGGTTGTCTTTTTTTTTCTTTTCTTGAATCCTTCCACAACCTTGCAGGCTTCTACAGAAGTCATTTTCCGTACTAATAATTTCTCTTGAAACAGCCTTTGTTGTTTGAGTTATGTACGTTTAGAAAGGCTTGTGACAATCAGTCAGGCATTCACATCTTTTTGTCGCCCTCCTAGACAGGACAAATGTACAGTCGACCAAAAAAGTTTACAGATCATGCGAGCGCGTAGCCAAAACCCTCTTCGCGGCACTTCCGGTACTTCAGCGGCAATCGACAGGATCACTGCGCCCGAGACGCATCATTCCCTTAATGCCTGTCTGTTTTCTGGCTGGATACAAATAGATCTCAGCTTTCACTTTTTAACGCGACACATTTTTTGGCATCTGTGTGCTTCTGCCTCGAGAGCAGATTATTAGAGCAACCCTTATCAGTCACAATCTTTATCACAAAGTGACACATAACCAAAGGAACGCCGTTCGAGGCACGCCGTAATTGCGCTGATACTATTATGAAAATAAAAATGTGGCAGTCATACTGCAGATGAGCGCTTCGTGTGAAAACTGGCAACTAGCAATGCGCTGCGCAGCGATAGAAAATTGAAAGGCCCGTCAGTAAGAAGAAGAGTCATTTTCGCCCTATCACATGTGGTCGGAAATAAATGGCGCTACACTAGGACAGACAGTTTGGCACGTGCTTGCGTGGTCCGCAAATATTTTTGGTCGACTGCACATTTTCTAGTTTTTCCGTGTTGTGAAATAAACATGACAAAAAAGAGACGCCGTGGTATGGGGCTCTGGAAATTTCAGCTATCTAGGGTTGCTTAACGTGCACCTAAATATAAGTACACGGCCTCAAATACTTTGTATATATAGAAAATTCAGTCACTGCAGTCTGGGTTCGACCCCATGACCTGCGGTGCCAGAAGTCAAGCACCATGACGCACTGTAAATTGTATACAATAAAATACTTATTCGGAACAAGGCAAGCATAGACTGACGAAGCAATGCGTTGTAGCCTGTAAAGAAAATGATAAGGCTTTAGGCATGCACTGTCTATGAAGGGCTCTAGGATTGTCACCCTACTTTAGTTGCAATAATTGGGTAGAGTTCGGCGACAAGAACCCACTTTTGCAGCAGTGCTCTGTGCCTCTATGTATATCATTCCTTGTTTTGTTTCACCTCCTAACATATTCCTGTGCACATGAAAATAAACATTTTTTGTTCAAAGTCAGCGCTGCAGTGTCTATGAATACATGTTTTTTTGTCTGTTTGCGCCCAATCGTGGGGCTCGAACTTGTAAATTTAAAAGAAAACGAGAAAGACCCTGAAGTGTTAACTTGCTTCAATATTTATTCGTGGCAGCCAGAGACCTTTATTAGGTTGCACATCGCAGGATTCGGTCCACACCATGTCTAAGTCACTAGTTTTGATCTTTTTGATGAAGAGCTGAATCTTCATCAAAAACGCGACGGTAACAACCAAATACGGTTGTCACATATAGCGCAAAATGACGGGAGAGGGCCGAAAATAGGAATAATGTGAGGGGAAGTAAAGCATTGAATGTCAAGCGTTGATGCTAGAAGGCATACAATGGAAACAAACGATTCTTGGAAGCTGGCCGCTAGTCATTTGGCTCATTTTGTTCGACTTATTTGCGCTGTGCGATAGCCTGAGTCACAATGTCATAGCAGAATGCCGAAGCTGCGAAGAAAGTGCTTATTACAAAGTCGCAGAGCCGAAGCTGTACTAGCAGACTGAAAGAATTCAATTTTTTGAAATAGGACTTTTCAATTAGCAGAGCATTATCGCAATAATGAAATTGTGAAAACGTGTCAATGTCTCAATGGTTTGCTTTTAAGAAGGGTGATTTTGCACGAACGCCTGTCTATATTCAAGTACCATCTGTGCCTCTTCTCAGGATATTTGCAGTTTTCATGTGCTCATAACTCTGCCATGAACTGAGTCGTGCTTCTGTTGACCTGGACGAGAGAAATCGAAGTGGCATTTTTCGTGGACCACTGCAATGGAAGGTCACTGCATGTACACTTGGCGCTCAGTTTATACAAGTCTGTGCTAAAAGTTTCGCAAACGCTGTGAGGATGCAACAGCAGAAATTACTGATGTATACAATATATCTGGAATTCTCTGAACTCTAGCCAAGAAACGGTTTGAAGACCAAAATGTTTTCAAAACACCCTGTTACAACTCACTGTGAGTGTGACTAAAAACTTAGATGCTCACGAAACGTTTGCTGCTCCAGAGCCCAAGTCGTATCGAAACTGGACACGGCCAGCTTCCAGTCGCAGCGCGAGGAAGTCACCACGACCAGAAGATCCTCCACCGTTGTAGAGCAAGAGACCCTGCGTAAGTGAACGAGAGCCCACACACTGTTTTCGAATGTCGCAGAAGTGCAGCAGTTAGAAGGAAGAATGAACTAGTAAAACTGAAAATGTTGGAAATATCGAGCTGAACTTACAACAATGCATTCATGCACACCATCGATAACATGTGTACTATATTCTAACTAAGAGTAAGTCAATCATCAAAAACAGATTCTGCAAGCAGAACAAACATCCCGTCAAAGGTACGTGGTAAAACGACGAACGGTCTACGAACTACATCTTATTGCATTTTCGGTGGTACTGAAAAAAAATTAACACAAGTATTTCGGAACATCCTGCTAACGACCGAAGTGCATTGTGGACTACATGGTTCCTCTGCACGCTATGTGGTCGTGTTGTTTTGCCCGAGTTGTTTGTTAATGTCCATGTTTCAGCCTCGTACGTTGGAAGTGGCAGTATGCAGTGGTTGTATACTTGTATACTATACCTGGCAACATTTAGGAGTACCTGCGGAACGCACGAGAGCGCATTCTTCGGTGAATTTATTTTAGATGCGAAGTATCCTTAGGGTCGAGCTCAATCCGCTGTACGGCATGACCACCCTTAGGCCTCGTTCACACTGAGCATTCCGGCCGCCGAAAGTGCTACGAATCCGGTTCGGCGGCGGCGAGATTCGCCGAAACGGCCCTCTCCGCGCCGATCGCTCTCGGACCAATTTTTGCGGCGTCTGCCGCCGAATCGGTCACCGCGGACCAATAGGAACGCTAGTCAAGGAATTTTGAAAAATGGCGGCCAAGCCCTACTCGTTTGTTATGCCGCAGTGCACGTAACTGAATGTTGAAACCAACGGGTGTTTAACCAACTCTGTGCCTACTTCGCCTCCGTATTTCGTGAAAGAGGTGACCGATCTTGCTGTTGGCGTGACCGAGCTTGTTGCGGTCTTGCAGAGCAGAACGAACCCACCAACGCCGCTGGCGTCAGTGGTTTTTCTGCTCTTCGTGCATTACAAGACAGCCACTTGCCAGCAAAGTAAGCAGTACTGTCTTTTCTTGCTTCTTGCGTACGAGAATCGTCGAAGTATACACCAGCGGATAGCGTAGTAGCGTTTGCGAGCCGCGACAACAACCGGGTGACAGCGCATCCATTCCGCGTTCGCCCCGTAGTAGATGGCATATTCGGCGGCGCGGGGCGCGTCCAGTGCGAACGACGCTGCATTTCGGCGGCAGGGGAATTTCGGTCGCTGTAGAAAGCGCATGTTTCAGTGTGAACTAGGACATTACTGCGCTTGCACGTCCCTTCTCTCTCCTCTGTTCTTTCTCACCCCTTCTCTCGCCTTGCAATGCCGACACAGGCTAGTCTAAGCTCACACCCTCCCCTCTCTCCACGCGGCACGCCCATTGCGCATGCACCCCTTTCCTCTCCAATGGTCCCCTCTTTCTCTTGTTTTGAAACGCCAACGCAGGCAGCGTTTGCTAGCGATTTATTGATTGATATGTGGGGTTTAACGTCCCAAAACCACCTCATGTTTATGAGAGACGCCGTAGTGAAGGGCTCCGAAAATTTCAACCAACTGGGGTTCTTCAACGTGCACCCAAACTGAGCACACGGGCCTACAACATTTCCGCCTTCATCGGGAATGCAGCAACGGCAGCCGGAATTCGATCCCGCGACCTGCGGGTCAGTGCATCCTAATCCATTACTCAGTACGCGTGAACTCCGACTAGAACTGCCAGTGCTTGCAACATGAGTTTACTTGCGCTCTACTGTGCACCATCCATGCCTGTTGGTTGTCTGTTCTTGGCATTCGGATACGAGTCACTGGAATTTCTATGCTGCCATCAACTCCTTCAAGTTAATTTACGTTTGTGGTATTTCACCATAACGCAACAGAAACTACCAGCTTTCGGTATGGGCGCAATCACAAAGGTGAGCCGTCTCGTGCGCAGAGTAATAGCGTTATCCATTGGCAGATTCAGAGTGACCCACAAACACTACGCCGAAGTACTCCCCTCAGGCAGGGGGCAACAGAAGAGTATGTAGCAATAGAGCACACGCACTCCCTCTGGAGCAAATGGCAAAGTCAAAATGGAACGCTTTTTTTGCGCGTCTGTCTTACTGCTTGAGTGGGAACTTTGGGCACAATGAAGCTACGCTATAAAAAGAGCATGTTTCCGCAATCTTGGCAGTGGCAAAAGGTGGCTTCACTACTGCTGGCAACCCTATTGCAAAAAAATTGGCAGATCCCACGTACCATGGGAATCGGTGATATGAGAAGCACGTATGAGAAATGTTGATATGTCACTTTAAAATCAGCACAACGCTCTGAGGTGGAGGTAAATGATACCGTACTTGACTTCGTATCATGATTATCATGTTTGGATGTGTTATTTACCTTCGTCCTCTATTCACGTCGCGTGATATCAAATTTAGTATATGTGAACCGGCCGCGAGCACGCTGTGAGCGTGGTATATTGTCATGCGTTTACATGACGCGTGTCACCATTATCATGTTTGCATCAGTCATATATTTCTTCATCCATTGACGTTGCGTAACACCAAATTTGGTATGTGTAGATGTAGTAAAACAGCCCCGAGTGCGTCATGAAGGGCCCAATTATATACTCCAATGTACCTTTGACGCACGCGCACGCTGGGCACAGCGACGCTATGTTAGCCAAACGCGAGCGCTCTTTAGTCTGACGCCAGACGCAACCAGCGTACGTCGGCGCGGTCCGACGGCAACTGGAGTGAAAGGCGACATGCTGCATTTCGCGCCAATTCGCTACCCCTTTTCGTGATGGAGGTAGGCTGGACGCGCTCAATCGAACGTGCGTCAAAGCAACGCAGCGTGGCGCGCGCCTGGGAGTATATAGCACGACTGGTGCCTGGCGCGGCAACACCGGCGTGAAGCGACAAAATGAACGCTTGTGGGCACGCGCACCGTGTCACGTCGAAATTTGTTGGCGCCTTGACTGTGGCATGTAGTCATGTCCTCACATGACACGCAACTTATTATTATCATGCTTGCACCAGTCACATACCTTCGTCATCCATTGGCGTCACGTAATACCTAATTTGGCATATGTGAAGCTAGCGAAACGGCCACGAGCGCATTATCAGTGTGGCATGTAAACATGTTGTCACATGACACGCATGTCGTGATTGTCATGTTTGGATGTGTCATCTACCCATGTCGTCCGTTCACGTCGCGGAATACCGAGTTGGGTACTTGTGAAGCAAGCGAAACGACCACGAGCGCATCAAGAGCGTAGCATGTAGTCATGTCATTACATGACTGTGATGAGTGGAGTGCGCGTCCAAAGTGCGCGCCTTTAGAAAGTGCGCGTCACAAAAACAGAACAGAACAGAGTGCACGCGCGGTGCTGCCTAGACAGCAACGATAACGACGGGAGTGAAGACGTCGCTTGCATGAAAACGCATGGCACCCCATGAACAAAATAAAACATAATGTAACCAATGATCATAGACCACGTAGATTTCAAGGCCCAAGGGCTGGGTACCACGAAAGTACAGAAACTCTCCAATGGGGACGAGACAAGTGGGCCAGAGCAGAAGCAGAAGCCTGAGCAAGGCAGATTAAGGGGAGTTCGAAGAAGACGGGGCAAGCGGAAGGTCGTCACCAGACCGGACGCTAAAGATGGGCCGTCGAGCATCGGACCCGAGCCTGCAGGACTTCAACCGGCCGGGGCCTCCTGCCATCGTGTTCTCGCTCAAGAGGACCATGGCCATCAGGTCCTGAACTCCTACCCAGGGCCTGCAGACTTTGGTTCCAACAGGCGAGCAACAGCCGTCAGGCTACGGGCCCGAGCTGTGCGCCCAGCTGCTTGGCCAGATTAACCCTGGTTCCCTGACACGCATCGCCACCAGCCTGCGTTTTTTCGTCATCGACAAGTCCACGCTCCTAAAGCCAGAGACACCACGTTGCGGTCTGGTTTCTCGACGTGTCGTCAGCAGCCAGCGTTCATTCATCCTCGTCCTGCCCGCGTCCTGAAGCTCGAATCACCGCGTTCCGGTTTGCTCATAGTCGCCGGAATTCAGCGTGTGGGTGAGACCGAACAGATGTCTTGCCCTACTCCACCGCTCAGCCCCATTCGGACGTTAGATTCAATTGAACAGTTTGAACTTCTTTGTTGAGTGTTGATAGATGGATTTCACTGGGTCGACCTAACTGTTTATAATTTGTTTCGTTTTATGAGGGATTTTGGTTTTTAAAATTTTCGATTAAACTTCTTGTTTGAGTTTTGGTACAACTGACTTTGTCCTTTCGTTGGGTGTCTCGTAGGTTTACACCTTAGGCCGCGTTCACACTCAGCATTCCGGCCGCCGAAAGTGCTCCGAATCCGGTTCGGCGGCGGCGAGATTCGCCGAAAGGGCCCTCTCCGCGCCGATCGCTCTCGAACCAATTTTTGCGGCGTCTGCCGCCGAATCGGTCACCGCGGACCAATAGGAGCGCTAGTCAAGAAATTTTGAAAAATGGCGGCCAAGCCCTACTCGTTTGTTATGCCGCAGTGCACGTAACTGAATGTTGAAACCAACGGGTGTTTCACCAACTCTGTGCCTACTTCGCCTCCGTATTTCGTGAAAGAGGTGACCGAGCTTGCTGTTGGCGTGACCGAGCTTGTTGCGGTCTTGCAGAGCAGAACGAACCCACCAACGCCACTGGCGTCAGTGGTTTCTCTGCTCTTCGTGCATTGCAAGACAGCCACTTGCCAGCAAAGTAAGCAGTACTGTCTTTTCTTGCTTCTTGCGTACGAGAATCGTCGAAGTATACACCACCGGATAGCGTAGTAGCGTTTGCGAGCCGCGACAACAACCGGGTGACAGCGCATCCATTTCCCGTTCGCCCCGTAGTAGATGGCATATTCGGCGGCGCGGGGCGCGTCCAGTGCGAACGACGCTGCGTTTCGGCGGCAGGGGAATTTCGGTCGCGGTAGAAAGCGGATGTTTCAGTGTGAACTAGGCATTAGAGTGCCTCCAGCGTGCAGCGGAAGCGAACG